ACGTAAGAGGAAAATACATGTCTTGAGCTCTTATTGAGCAAACATAAACAACTCGTATGAATATACAANGTTTGTTACCTAAAATAATAAGATCGAAATATGTATAAATGAACATATGATCACCATTTAATATAGTGTTGAATGAAGACTTGGTGCATTTCATAGGTGAGGGTCGGTAATGGACCAGGCTAGCCTGGTCCACCAACTAACCACCCAAGTTCACTTAATTGGGCAATGGATCTAGACTGACCCTAAAGACATCTTACAGGCTTAGTCCACCGGGTTGACAGGCAGTGAGCTGACTGTCCTAACCGGCCCATGGCCCAATGGAGTCCTTAGCTTTCTATCCACTGGGCTGACACCTCAGTCGATTGTCCGAGTGTCAATTCGCTTATTCAGTTTTTTGATTTTTAAATCTTGTGATTGTAATTGGTGTTGTGTTATTCACTTTTTTTATTTTTAAATCTTGTGATTGTAATTGGTACCATATTCGTGTCAATACCAACAAAAAAATAATTATTTAATGTCCTATAATATTAATTTAATCCAACTTATTTATTATGACCACTCGAGCAAATAGTCCGGTGGTAAGTCATATTCATTTAAAGTTGTCTCTAACTCTCACATGGTTATCAAGTAAAGTTCAATTTTATGAGACTAATGCAGTTTATTGTTTGACTTTAGTAGTACTGTAATGATGGACTGCCCTTTTGTATTAATAATTATGTTTTAAATCAGACATTCTATAGTGAGGGGACCCTCCTGATTACGTCTAAGAGAATTACTACCCATTAGTTATTCCTCCCACAAAAAAAAAAAAAAAAANCGCTTCACCACCTTTCTGCAATTATTAAGACTTCTGCTCTTTCAATATCACTGAAAGACTGCTAGTGATTAGAAAACCCTAAGGAGACAGATATATACAAGTGGATTGATGCATTCATGTATAGATGATAGGGGCACAATGGTTGTGATCCTTCTAACCCACATGGATTCCCATTTTATTTCTTTGGTGGGCACAAGTAAAAACAGATGACTAGATATAAAACTGAGGAACAAGCCAAGGCTAAAGCCAAAAACCAACCATGTGAGCATCCAAAGCATATGGACTAAGAAAAGTATCAAAAAGAAAAGGAAAAGTTGGTGTGAGGTGGTGTGTGTGTATGTGAGAGTGAGTGGCATGGGGATGGGGGATTTGGAGATTTTAGATTGTCCCTTTTTTTATTTTATTCTATCTTACAGTTATTCAAAACTTATTTCTCAATTCAACAATGTTTAAACAACCTTATTCAAAACGTATTTGAAAAGCGTGAGCTTAAAACATACTTGATCTTATAAACATTATTTGAAACTTATTTAAAAAGTGTCAGTTTAAATCACATATTTATATAAATATTGTTGGATTGTGATTCAGGATAACGTCAATAAAGAAATGAGATTAAATAACAAAAATTATAATCTGTTGATTACCAAAATAATACCAAATTAGAGTTTTCAAAAATCTTGTTGATTTCACAGAATACTAAGGCAATTGGAATAAAAAAGGAAAACTTGTCTCTAAGTTTTTATTTAAACCAATACCAAAACTCCTAAATCAATTTTAAAGATCATATAAATACAAAACCCTACTAGTCTTAAATGATTAGAAAAACCAAGAAAATAAGCAATATTATAGAAATACCCTAAACAAAGGGATAAAATAAAAAAATGCCAAAAACATCATCATTTTTGGCTTAAAAACAACGAGTTGAATGATTTTCTCATATCGTTGTGGGCTTTTAAGAATGGAGTCTCTGAAATTTTCTAACACTATTACCCAAAATCAACCATAATTGATACTCGATCAACTTTGTTTTCAACGATCTTTATCTGTCGTATAATTTTATGTTATACCTGCAACATCAAATTGAGAGATAAGTTTCATATAATGGTAAATATAAAATAGAGGTAAAAAAGTAGAGTAATGTTATATGGACTTAAAAATTAGACTTGATAATCTCAACCATTGAATAGGTAGTGAGTCCCAATAAATGCTGGGATTCACAGTGAAATTAATGGTTGAGATTATTAAGTCTAATTTTTAAGTCTACTTTTTAAATCCATGTAGCATTACTCAAAAAAGTATGATAATTTGATTTTTGTAAAAGGGTGTGTGGGGGGGGGGGGGGGGGGGGGAGGGATGAGAGTGGAACTCGCAACCACCTGCAGGCGGGAGTGAGCCCTCATTAGACTTCTCATAGTCTAATGTCCAAATTTTTTGGGACTTCAGATAAAGATGACACTATTCATCAAAAAAGCCATGGATCTGCATCAAATAACAATCAACCAAGAAGGGTAAGATACAAACCATTTTTTGCGCAAAATTATGTGCAGTATAACTCCACAAAGTGCAATAGAACCAACACAGACGTAGAAGACTAAGTTTACATGTGCACTGGTCTTCAATCTTTCAGGCACTGAGAAGTCCCCGGCATCTTCATAACCCTGAATTATAGGCACCACAGCCCTGCTGAGGGAAATAGATCATTATAAATCTATGAGAATATGTGCATCTTCACCTGAAAATATCAAAGAAGTACCTAACCACAAAGCATCCAAAGCTCATGAAAGTAAAGCAATGGCAACAAAATAGTTCCTTATTTAGTTCTTTTTGTGATATCTATATATCACATTGCTTCTTATTCTTATCCCTAAGGTTTATGGTTAGGCATTGGAAAGGACAAAAAACACCTTAACTCATATTTGTAAGAAGACTACATGTAATAAGAAAATGGAAACAAAACTTGAAATAAAAACCCTAATGAAATTACAGAATACAATTTACACAAGGACAAACATGAAAACTGCCTGGCAGAACCTCAAAAAAAAATGTTGGTTCAAATCCTATTATTAAGTATGACGATAAAAATCCTTTGAGAAGACCAAACAATTGGGAAATCTACTTTTTGTAATTAATAAATCAACATCAGACAGGTGAAAACAATTCTTTCCTACAAGCTACAAAAACTCAATGCAACTAGGCAAAAAATAAAGGCATATACAACACGTAAGAGGAAAATACATGTCTTGAGCTCTTATTGAGCAAACATAAACAACTCGTATGAATATACAAAGATGAGCATAAGCCAGTAGACAAGATTAGCGAAGTGCTATGCTAATTACATAACAAGTAAGCAAAAAAGTGCTCCAATATGACCAGCTCGAGAAGAAAGAGATTCCTCCCTTGTCATGACCAATTATTGTCTGCACAAAATAAAAGGGTTCAGCAACATCCCTGTACGAAAAATAAACTATGATGTAATATATTAGAAACTTCCTTTCTGGGTTGCGGTTATGCCTTCTTGAGTTGAAAAGAGTTACATTAGCAGAAAATCCTATGCTAAATACCAAAACCCTAGGGTCAAATTTGATTCTAAATTCATCTGAAATCATCACTACTAGTCCTATTAGATTCTTAACACGGAAAATGGGTTCTCCAAATCCAATTATATGCCCAATTTATTGAAAACAAAACGCACCCTTTGAAAGAAACAAAACCCACAACCGGAATTGCCAAAAAAGACCAACATACAAATTATCTATAACCTGATCAACCGGCTGTGAAAAGCTTTCACTCAAGGGTTCTGATTCTTTCATAATTCAAATTTGTTTTACCGTTTTGAGTTACACAAAAAGATTCATATCTTTCTATCAAATACGAAAACTCAAAACACATGATCAAAAGCAATGACAACAACTACTGATTTTTGTATACAGATGATTGGTATACTGAGACAAAGGCAAATTGAAACGTCCGGTCCAGATGTCGGCTGGGACGAGAATGATGATGGAGAGAGAACAGAACCAGGGGTAAGCGACGGTAAAACCGACGTAGCGAGGCACGTGTGGTCCCGCGAAGTACATGAGCGTGAGTGCCACCATGCCCATCGTCAGAGGCAGCGAGATCAGATAGAACACCCACATCTCTCGCTCTCTCCCTTGTTCTCTGGGAAGGGGATGGAAAATTTTATTGCTCGAGGTTGACGGCGGCAGGAAGCTTTTAAGGTGAATCAACCTAACGGTCACTTACCGAAAAAATTAAATGAATAAACCAACCAACGGGTCAACCGACCCGTCCATCCGACCCATTATGAATTTAATTTAAATGAGTATAAATTTAAATTTAAAAGAGATTAAAATATTATTTAACCCCTAATTTGAGAATCTAATAAAAAAATTTAATAAAAAGTGAGATCTATGTANAAAATCGTGTCGTATTGAGTACAAATCATGAATGGGACAGATTGACACCCTTACTGTCTCTATCTTTCTTAATATCATTCTCTATCAAGAAGTGGTTAAGGATTGTACATGTCAACATCCATTGAATCTAAGCAAAACAAAATTTAATGAAGGTTGAATGTAGATTACATAGGACAAGTGCACGGAAGTCCATCTATTCTTTTTGGCATTCGATGGACAACATAGTCATCGACCAACCTAGGAAACGTCACCTGAACCAGCTAAATGATTACAACAAATGAAAAACATCAATCCCACACTTCCAATATTCCATAATTGATCAGCAGAAACCTATTACAAACACTCAATTCATTTTTTCCAGTGAAAAAGCTATTATTTCACCCTTTGAACACAAGAACATCCCCAGATAGCAGGTAAATCTTAGTAAACTTCAAAAATAAATGATGAACAAAGCACCTTTGAATTATGATACTCCACAATCATATATAGTAATCAAAACAAGAATGATCTGATTCGTGTTCAAAACGTACTATACAAATCCACTAGAGATAAACTATGATACTTGTGTGTGTGTGTGTGTGTTTTTGGAGGGTACCCAAGATCCAAAAAGGTCTGATGAAAATGAGGTACGCAAAGCACATATGTATCCACTTCAGCACAGAATTTAACAAATTAACACATGAGAAAGAGGCATAAAAGAGAGTAAATGCAGCATCAAAATAGAAAAGATAAGAGAGTTACTTAAGAATCCAATTTGTCAGGACACCTATCGTAAACAAGTCTTTTGCGAATTTTCATTTGGTTATCACATATTCAAAAAAAGGCAGTTATTCATCCAGAAAATAAAAAACCGAACTTACAATGCCACTTATTCGTTGTTTTCCATGCTTACAGAATAGACATGTAAGAAATTAACACTCTCAAGGCGGCATTAGCCTCGCAGGCAAAATTCCATCATCCAACAGCCAAAAGTCCTTCTATCACATATATTTACAGAATCTATGTTAGAAAACAAAATGGCCATGTTGTCAGGTGGACAATTCTTATCTCATTCTTGAAGAAAAAGTGTTTTCTTGACATCGAGCGCAGGTGTCACTTTGCAATCTGGGTGGAACAGCTAATTTGATTACGGTTTCCCTTCTGTTGGATTCAAGAGACATCAACGACTTTGTCATATCCGATATTCATCCAAGTTCTTGAATATTTGCATGTGTGTTGCTCAAAGATACACCGAATGAATTGAACAGAAAATTTCCTTTTTTCACACGGCACTAATTGTAGGTTTGATGTCAAACTCCATAAAGTGGTAACATGGTTTTGACAAAGGAATATGCAAGTGCACCTGTAAATATGTAGCTGTCCACCCTATCTAATATTCCACCTGCACAAAACCATGCGGTCATGTTGTAAAAAAATTTAAGAGATGTGATATAAAGTTTCAAATTGAGACACCCATTCAATATTTAAACCAACTTTCAAAAAGTAGCATGATGGCCCACATTACAGGTCAAATCAGGATTAGATGAAAATTGTCTAACAAAAAATTATTTTTTTCATTTTAATAAAAAAAAATTAGCTTTTTTCCTTTTTAGCTAAGACCAATCAGCTTTTTTTTCGGTTGTATATTAACAACAAATCAGTTTATATATAAAACTAAAACGTAGATCTAGCATCTTATGAAGCACAGTTTTGTAAACACAGTTATTGTAACAAGATGAGAAGTAGCTCCACAGAACTACAGACTGATCATTCATAAACCAATAATTATAACTGCATGCAATCACCAACATAACAGAACTAGCCAAAAATGAACTGTCAAAAAGACAAGATGAATGCCTTACAAAAAAGTCAACCATGAGTTAAATGATTACCATGTCCAGGTATGAGGGACCCTGAGTCCTTAACACCCGCATCACGTTTGATCATTGACTCAGTAAGGTCACCAAAAAGAGATCCAAAGAAGTTCAGAACCCCAAAAGCAATAGCACTGATGAAATAATCCGATAGAAAAAGTTAAATGTCAAAACCACGTGTAAAGGGAAAACAATCTAACTTTATATTTACAATGACAAAAGCATATGTCGTAGATGTATCGCAGTCCATTGTACTAACAGGGAAATGAATCACCTCATTATTCTAGTGCACCCTCAGATTAGTATTTATCTTTTCAAACTATTCGTTAAACACCAACAATAGGTTCCATTTTCTGACTGGACCTAAGGTACACTGAAGCTCAGGACTGGAACCATAATTAAATTTTATTTTAACAATAACAGTTAAGTGATGGAAGGCAACACCAATTGCTTCCTTTTGTACATTGTTTTCCTTTCCCCCGTTATATCCATGAACCAAATATAGGCTCACAAACATAAACATCCTAGTTGATCAGTTTTCTTTACTGGCTTGTCCCATAACTTGCAATTTGATGTTGGAAAATGAATTAGAAATTGGCTTTGTAGTTTCCTAAATGAGAAACACTGGAATGATAAGATACTACTAGGAAAAAACCTTGTACCTGGGCACTGATGTCGGCCAACCAAGAACCTTTGATAATAAAACAGAAGTGGCTATACAACCACTTAAGCCTGCAACAGCTCCCTCCCAGGTCTTCTTTGGACTAATATTAGTAAGTGGTGTCCGGCCAAATATCTGCATTGGAGTTCAATACATAGCTGATGGTCACCTAATAGGGACAACATGCATCATTTGATAATCACCAAGAATTTGTTTCCATTATCAAATTGTTCATACAACACAACTTTTTGTTTGACAAGTGAAAACACCAGCCAACTGGTGTCCCCCATGTCTTTAGATTCTGGTTCTATACTTGAAATTGTAGGTAACGAACTGTAACATAAAATAAACAGAAACATGTGAAATCGGTTCAATCAGATAACCAAACCATCAAGCTGAAAAATCTTTACATTCTCCAACCCCATAAACTAGAAGTCATGCATTCCTTTTTTTTCGCCCATAAGATATCAAAAAAAGGCCACCGAAATTCATGACTTAAAAAGGCAAATGAATATTTAGATGCTCCGTTAATACACAAGAAATGCTACTGACTAGTAGGTATTTACCGCTCTAACTTATAGCACATTCTGACAAAAACCAATCACTTGGGAAAAAATTCATTTTACATGAATGGTAGACTGTTAAAAAGCAAGAACTTCAACTTGCGTAATAAGGAATTTAGACACTATCAACCCACATGTAGCAACGTACAAACTTCCTTGAAAGATGGTATAGATAAAATTAAAGTGGGAGAACATTTCCATGGTTCAATGTTAATTACTTCATTCACCAAGAAACTTAAAAAAACAGGTCATGAATGGTTAATCACAAGCCTAATTGCACCATTCTGTTGCTCAAGGTAGATGAACACCCCGCTACAAGGTCACATAAGATGCCACTCATGCATCCATATTTTGAAAATGATCACATAAAGCTAGGACAGCTTCACCTCAAGGAAAGATAGAGGTCCAAGCATATTTTATTGTGCATGAAATGATTGCAAGAGAAAGACAGGTCCACACAGGACCAATTTCAGAAGCAAAAATACCTTGCCACCGAAAAAAGCATAAGTATCTGCTGCAATTATGCTGCTGAACGAAATCAAGGTAGCCACAAGACCCACTGTCCACAGAGTTCGACCACCAAGAAGCATAGGCCATGATGCTCCCACTCCTGCCAAGGATAATTTAGTTGTTTTTGGGGGTTAAAAGGATAAACACAATTAAGAACCATAAGAATTTGATAAAGTACAAGTCCCCATTGGATTAGACATGCACAAAAGGAACTATATGTATTAATGAATACTAAGAGTTCGATGTAGAAGACAGTCGAAAGGAGTACATTAAGAAGAATTAGGCTTAGCAAATCAAGAATTACAAAGGCTTTGCATTATAGAGGCAAACAAATAAGCATTTCTATTGTTTATGAAGTATGGCATGATGGCATTACATTTGGAAAAAAATTAACGTGCTCAACTTCTTCAGATTTCCAATTGGTACAGAGTACATAAATAACTCACAAGCAGATTACGCACCCAGCGCAGTTCAACTTAGCTTACAGAAGACCACATGGATAAACAAAATTCAACAGAGTACATGTTTCGCTAACTACGGATAGATTTAGAGTCATATTCTTACTTGTATTGAGTGCCGGGGCTGCTAAACCACATCGAAGTTTCACCCAAAAACAAGGAAGATAGCCACAATAAAATAGCCCAAACACGGCACTACTGAGCTGCGCAAAACGAGGATTTCCTCTCTGTAAAAGCAATATCATAGCAACGACAAAAGCCGAAGAAGTCACAGAAACATCAATTTGGCCGAAGTATCTGAAAGTTTATTAGAAACATAATGAGCAATAGAAACCCTCATACCATTAGCGATGAGGTCCAGAGCAAAACTCAGACATTCAATAAATAATATCACGAGAAAGTTTCCATTTCAGAAAAAAAAATTCACTAAAGTACACTGTTAGTTGCAACTGACATACATGGGACTAGCATTGAACACAAGTTATTAGGCAGACAAACTGACTTTCAATGTAATTCGGCATTTATCAAAATAAGGAACATGAAAGCGTTACAAGAAAAATGCATCTCATAAACAAAGCAGGGGCACTATTTCCAATGTGTTATAATACTTTAAAATATCAGAATTAACCCTCTTAAAAATGATTCATCCCATAACTAGGAACAACCCATACCATCAACATAGAAGACTGAGCGAAGTAAATTATCATGGTTCATTGGAGATCACTCCAACTAAATCTTATAAGCAGCAAAGCTATGGTTAGCAAAAATATGATTAGGACCATTGTATTACAAAAATCTTACAGTGTGAGAATAGGCATAAGAGTGCATATAAGAGAGCAAACTCTGGATACATATCGGGGAGGAGGCGTCATTCCTGCAGCAATTCCACGACTCCTAACCAGCTCAAAATATTCTCTTGAACCAACAAAAACAGCAGCAGCAAGGGCCACTGTGAAAACCCATCCACCAGCCAACACCACACCTCCAGCTGAAATTCCAATGCCAAGTCCAAAGACAACCCTTTTTTTCAACTGGCTAGCTTTCTGCTGACGTTCTGACGCTAAATCATCCTTAAGCAATGAATTAAAACCTTTGTCAACTTCCTACAATGCATCAGCATATCAATCTAAATGATTACACTTTATCATACATGAGGACTATAGAAAATTTAAAAACTTTAATTCAGATCTTCACAGTGACAAGATTCCGGAAAAATTACTTCAGTCCTGGTTTTGTCAATGCTTCTCCTTTAGAATAACAATTAAAACCCACACACAGTAATTTGATGAGTTTACTTGGTTGTAAAGGATTACAATATCAATGATTACTCATGCAATGCAATCCCTAGGCATGAGAGAGAGAGAGATATGAGAAGTGTTGGTTTGGTCATAATACCATGCAAAAACACCTGAGGGAGACAAGAATGATCCACTCAGACCCAACAGTCTGCTGGACGCATGCAAAAAATTTAACCTTCCATTATCAATGAGTATTTCTGTATTTGGACATCTTAGTGATCCATTTCTTGTTAAGGAAATAGCACTTTCTACACAGTTTCATTAACCAAGAATCTCTGCACAAACAAGAAATCTTAAGATCATGACTTTAGAGCACAGAACGAAAGATGGTGGCAAAGGGGAAATGAACACATATCCAGAGTCTAGACAATGAAAGAAGGGCCAAGATTCGCAATCGCACATCCAACATAGAGGTGATGTACAATCAATGGGGCACACAGAGCCCAATTGGGGATCCTAGACTTTCTTAAATACGAGGTCAAAGGTCAATCCTTGCCAAATACAACATTTATTCCCCCCCCCCNAGCTGCGCAAAACGAGGATTTCCTCTCTGTAAAAGCAATATCATAGCAACGACAAAAGCCGAAGAAGTCACAGAAACATCAATTTGGCCGAAGTATCTGAAAGTTTATTAGAAACATAATGAGCAATAGAAACCCTCATACCATTAGCGATGAGGTCCAGAGCAAAACTCAGACATTCAATAAATAATATCACGAGAAAGTTTCCATTTCAGAAAAAAAAATTCACTAAAGTACACTGTTAGTTGCAACTGACATACATGGGACTAGCATTGAACACAAGTTATTAGGCAGACAAACTGACTTTCAATGTAATTCGGCATTTATCAAAATAAGGAACATGAAAGCGTTACAAGAAAAATGCATCTCATAAACAAAGCAGGGGCACTATTTCCAATGTGTTATAATACTTTAAAATATCAGAATTAACCCTCTTAAAAATGATTCATCCCATAACTAGGAACAACCCATACCATCAACATAGAAGACTGAGCGAAGTAAATTATCATGGTTCATTGGAGATCACTCCAACTAAATCTTATAAGCAGCAAAGCTATGGTTAGCAAAAATATGATTAGGACCATTGTATTACAAAAATCTTACAGTGTGAGAATAGGCATAAGAGTGCATATAAGAGAGCAAACTCTGGATACATATCGGGGAGGAGGCGTCATTCCTGCAGCAATTCCACGACTCCTAACCAGCTCAAAATATTCTCTTGAACCAACAAAAACAGCAGCAGCAAGGGCCACTGTGAAAACCCATCCACCAGCCAACACCACACCTCCAGCTGAAATTCCAATGCCAAGTCCAAAGACAACCCTTTTTTTCAACTGGCTAGCTTTCTGCTGACGTTCTGACGCTAAATCATCCTTAAGCAATGAATTAAAACCTTTGTCAACTTCCTACAATGCATCAGCATATCAATCTAAATGATTACACTTTATCATACATGAGGACTATAGAAAATTTAAAAACTTTAATTCAGATCTTCACAGTGACAAGATTCCGGAAAAATTACTTCAGTCCTGGTTTTGTCAATGCTTCTCCTTTAGAATAACAATTAAAACCCACACACAGTAATTTGATGAGTTTACTTGGTTGTAAAGGATTACAATATCAATGATTACTCATGCAATGCAATCCCTAGGCATGAGAGAGAGAGAGATATGAGAAGTGTTGGTTTGGTCATAATACCATGCAAAAACACCTGAGGGAGACAAGAATGATCCACTCAGACCCAACAGTCTGCTGGACGCATGCAAAAAATTTAACCTTCCATTATCAATGAGTATTTCTGTATTTGGACATCTTAGTGATCCATTTCTTGTTAAGGAAATAGCACTTTCTACACAGTTTCATTAACCAAGAATCTCTGCACAAACAAGAAATCTTAAGATCATGACTTTAGAGCACAGAACGAAAGATGGTGGCAAAGGGGAAATGAACACATATCCAGAGTCTAGACAATGAAAGAAGGGCCAAGATTCGCAATCGCACATCCAACATAGAGGTGATGTACAATCAATGGGGCACACAGAGCCCAATTGGGGATCCTAGACTTTCTTAAATACGAGGTCAAAGGTCAATCCTTGCCAAATACAACATTTATTCCCCCCCCCCTTTTATGTATGCGATTCACGTCTCTCTCCATTGATTCTTTGGAAATTTCCTTCTTAACTCAATAGTGTGGAACTGTAGATCAATTGTAATACTACATCTTGTTGGGTGTTTGCTCCTTACTCATGGCATAGATTGATAGGATTGTAATACAGGTACCCCGTTGCAAACAAAAATACCATAGAAATGATGTATTAAAACTTAAGTCAAGGTTCAATGAGATAGACGAATGACACTTTGCACAAGTAGTCGGAGAGAAGCTCTTTAAAACAAAGGGGGATGCACAAGGTTTCACTCAGTTGAAAAATTCAACTCCTCCCTTTCAAATAAATATTGAGTGTACCCATCCAATAAAAAAATAACAAAATAAATAAAATGAGGTTCACTTCTTATTATGGAGGTCGTTAAATATTACATAGCTGGGTGGGTATGAATTTTTGTGGGCTCCCTTATAGACTTGTTTAATTTTTTATGGACGGTTACACCACGTGACATCGGTGACGTAATTACACTCAGTATTTTTTCCTCCCCCAAAATGAAAAATATATAAACAAATAGAAAAACATATGCAAGAGATAAAGAACCTATATGGCCTAAAAATGTTATTTACAGCAATTTGTCAAGATATTCAATTAAGAAAACAGGCATTTTAACACTCGCATGTTATTCCCCTAAGTATATTAATACACTAGCACTAGGGTAATCCGTCCATGAAAGCACATTACAATGTAAATGATTTTGATATTTTGAGAGGGATGTTAGTGTATACTATAGATAACACTGAAAATTTACAACTAACCCCACTCTAATCTTTCATAAATACCATCTGAATCTTACAATGCTTAGGTAACCGCTTCCTGTGCATAGACTTTAATATTTCTAGAGTAACTTGTCATTCCAATATACAACGCCCAGTAAACCTTTCAAACCCAAACTGGAATGAATATATGGAATCAAACCACCACAAAATATGAAAACCAACAAGGAACCAAACTATCTCCCATTTTCCCAGCAACCTAACAGTAGAAAGACAAAACTAAAATGCATTTGTGTTGGAATCTACTAATACCTTCTTGGCTTCATCTTCATCAATTTTCTCCGGCTCGGCTCTGGCAACGGCGGTGATAATCAGGCCACGCTTCACGAAAATGCCACGGGGAATTCTAAAACTACCTCCGGCGCCGTTGAAGAACAGCTTGAGATTGGTATTGGACGAATTGGGTCGACAAAGAATTAGGGTTTTGGACGATGTTGAAAGACGACGCGAGTGGCAAGCACAGAGAGATGATAGTGAAAGAGGGAATCTATCGAATTCTATATAAGACGCCATGGATAGGTGGAGGAGCTTTTGGGAGTGGGTTCAGAGGTGTTTTATGAGCATTTCTGAGGAGGGAGTGAATTGGGGTTGCGAGGAAGGAAGGTACGCCATTAATGGGAGGAGTTGGAGAGAGAATGGGACGTGTCGTCGTGTCGATGGGGGAGGTGTCGATGGTTTCAGTGTGAATCAATGCAATGCACTGTTATCCCCGTGTGCGAAAGTTAGAGGAAATGACACTTTGAATTCCAAAAGATCTTTATATTCTCAATTCATACCCTCAAAAAATTAAAATTTTGATATTTTACTCTTATTAAAAAAAAAAAAGAGTTAATTGCACTAGAAGTCCCTAAAGTATATGGCTCATCTCATTTTAGTATTTAATATTTCAATTGTATTATTTTAATCCCTAAAGTATTTAGTATATTTTCTTTCAACTACATAGTGTCCAAATTCTTAATAATTTTTTATTATAAACTTGTCATACAATAATTAAATATATGTAATAAAATAATTGGAAAAACTTTTAACTAAATTTTTGCCCAAATTTTGGTTAAAGAGTTATCCAAATTTTATAATTTTGATCATGAACTATCTAAATGTTGATAAATAGTTACTCATATTATACATTCTTTATCAAGAGCTATCTAAATTATTTTTTTTTACATATATTTAGATATCACGTGACAAGTTTATGATAAAAAATCGTTAGCAATTTAAATATTGTTTACTTGAAGAATCACATAGAAAACATATTTAATGGTTTCAAATACCAAAATAATGCAATTAAAATATTATGGACTAAAATGAGACAATAGAAGCAATATGATATGACAAATACAATAAAATAAATTATTTTTCTTTCTAATTTTTTCTTTGGTTAAATTGCAGTAAAAAGTTAAATTTAGTTGTTTCTATTAAGACGGAAGTTCCCAAGACATAAGCAAGGATTCAGGTCACTTCAATTATACTTTGATTTAATTTAATATAATAAAAATTTATTTATGGTATATGAGCTGAAAATCCACCTATAAAAGTTGGTCACAATTAAAAAAGAATGATAAAATGATCTAACATCTATATAAATTTTAAAAATATAATTAAGAGAATCTCAATCATTAAATAATCTGAAAGTTTTAATGTTTTTTAAGTTATATAAGTTGTATTATTCCAAATATATTCATTCATGTCTACTTAATTTATAATCTTTCATAATCAAGTTCATATCAAATAATAATTAAATTTATATCGGGACATTTATATAATAAATCGATTCTTTTATGATCTAAACATATTAAGGTCAAATTCCTACTCAATTAATTTTGTAATAATTTTGTGTCGAACTGATAGATATGGTCTCATTAATATATTGAAATATTCAGCTTCATAGGGGGAATAAACCTAAATACAAAGGCTGTCATTACAATTCATCATAAAATCTTTTAACAGGAACCAGCCAGTGGTAAACGCAGGAGCTTCGCTTGTAGTTACCCAAATTGCCCCTATAACTATCAAAATCTCAAGTAAATATTCAATATAATCATAACACTGCATTATCACTATCATAAGATATCACTCTCTAATAAGAAAAATAACGAATAGATATTAGTAGTTATTGAATAGTGGGGTTTATATACCGCATCCAATAATCAACAAATTAGATCGGTAAAAATCACTTGTTGTCAATTTTATTATTGAACAGTTATTACATGACGGTGATAATGTAATTTCTTCCTCCAAAATCCTCACACTTGTGTAAATCCCTCTATCAAAAAATCCCATTACCTAATAAGCCCAAAGAATCTTAAATCCATCTATTCAACAAAAAAATATAGTACTACACTGACAAAAAAAGCAAAAGCAAGAACTTAATTATAGAAAACTCAAATGTCCCAGCTGCAAAAAATGCCCAAAGATGGGCTCTCACTTTCAGAAACCCCATGAAAATGGAGCAACCCAAAAGATGTCAAAGTCTGAGGATCACCTTGGAATTAGATTATAAAAAATTTATCCCTCAACAATACTCTAATCTTGGCGTAAATGACCTATCTTTGACCGGATCAAAGACAAGTTTGTTTGAGGTGCACTAAACCAATCCAAACACCATTGACCGTTATATTTTTTAAAAAAAAGAATATGAGGAGCACCAAGAGAGTGGCTTGGTAGAGCAACCCACCACAAGGAGCAAAATAAGAGGCTGAAAAAATAAAACCTTGAAATTACCGAAATAAGTATGTTAAAGGAGTTAGTGGCACAATGGATGATCTTACAGCATCAAGCAAGTACAAAAACCATTCAAACCCATTTGACCATGTTTCCCAGAGTCGATAACAACAGCTAATAGAATACAAAAATAAATGGCTTCTTCAAGCAGTCACACAAGTCTTCAGCATCCTAAATTCTTTAAATAGCCGGAGCGGTAACAGAGACAGAGAAGGCATACGAGCCAAATTCTATCGATCAAGTCTTCTTCAAAAGGTAACCCAGAAGGAGGCCAAGCAAGCCAACAATAACAACATATAAGAATGGGATACCACCACGGCTTTTGTTACCTTCGCGCCTCAATAGCTCCTGCACACAATAAGATCAAGAGGGTAAGGCTACGGTCCTGAAAAGGCTTCCATTAGTGTCACATTAAACCGTGCTGCATCCTCAATCATATTGTGCAAAGGAAATGATCTCCAAATGTAAGACAATATAAATTGTATATGCTACACCCGTTAACCTGCTGCTACAGCTGATGTTACAATACTACGAATTGAAATACTGAGGCCAGTGTAATGTCTAAGGGAAGAACCATCAAATTGTTGATGACAGAGGTGCTTAACCAAAATTTAGATGCACAAGTCAAAAAACATTATTCTTTCATAGCAAGAAGCGGGGAAAGAATGTAGCTCAAGTTGCACAAAGCAAATATTCTTGGACATAAAACATACATTTTAGACAGTTAACAAACAGTATTTTAGTCTTCATAACCATATGAGAGAGAGAGAGATGGAATCCAACAAGGTAGTGTATACTAAAACATAAAAGTAATGTGTCGTATCCGTGTATTATTTCAGAGTTACAAAATCTTTTTCTATTTTTTTATTTTATTGAGGTTTGATTTTTCTTTGGAATGCGCACCCCATCTATCTCTTTTGCTTTTTAAGATATTCTGAACTAGTTCTTCAGCATACACCAGCCATCAGCTATCCCTCGGCATCCAAATATATCTAATCTCAGTAACTTAATAGTTCTTTTGTTAAAAACTTGTGCATCACTCCACAATTGAACAGGGGTAGTAGACTTGAGACACCACCACATGTTGAAATCTAGGCATGGGCACAGTTTCACAGCAGTTCTTTTATGACCTCTATGAATAGTGTGGTGGAAGACCATAAGATACTCTTTGCTTGCCAAACTTGGGACATGCCTGCTTGTAAATATCTACTCATCATAACTCCATGCAGAAAGAAGTAAAAAAGTAAATTCAAAAGTATATCTTAATCTTACAACAAGAACACAGTATACTGGATTTTTTTTCTGCACAATTCTGAACAAAGCAAGCTTCAACACCCGAAATGTTTGCAAGGAAAGAGAAACCATGCAGAAACCCCATGCTTGCTAATGTTCCAGGCGCTAGACACTTTAGGTATAAGTGTTCTCATATATCATCTAAATATTGGTCCCAGGAGAAACGAACATAGGGCTGTACTATATTATGAAACGAGAGGGGATGATTCTCCTCCATGTTTGAGTGTCACAAAATAGAAGTACATATAATCATTGCAATGTAGGAAAAACTGTTGAACTCCCCTAATTTTCAAAACCGGGGAGTATGAACATATTGCACTTATTGTAAGACTAGTTAGGAACTCTGAAACCAGAAGACTGTAAAGATAGTAAACGAAATTTAATTTTTCCAAGTTTTATTGACAGGAAAGGAATAGAGGATATGAAGTGGGAAAAGAATAATTTACATAAATTAAAAAAAAGAACCAATTTTCATTACAAAACAATGCAGAAATAGGGGGAAACCTGTGAATTTCTTTTCATTTTCGTTGCCCTTCTAAGAACTAACAAGACCACAAATGCTAAGCAATAAGCATTGATCGATAAAATCGGTATAAACATCATTCAAAAGCTCTTTCAGGAGCCTTTTTGCAGACAAACACTAGGAAAATGATCTTATACTGTTTCCATTATTTAACATTGGTTTACTCCATACAAGTTGTGAAGTTTTCATATGTTTCATAAGACTGATGTATCCTGAAACTAGGAAAAATCTGAAAGACCATTTCAGACTTAAATTAGCAACAAGGAAAAAAAATTATAGAGAACTTCACTGATAGAGCCCTTACCAGTTCTTGCTGAAGTTTGTTATTTTGCTGAATAGCAGAATTTTTCTCTTCAGACAGCTTAGAAATGAGGGCCCTTACCTGAAATTAAAAGAACCAATTATCAAACAAACAATACTTAAATACCACTATCCATAAGATAACCCATCAAGTTGTTTTTTTCCCAGTAGGTAAACACATCAAGCTGTCACTGCAATTAAAAGACAATATTTTCACGTGATGAACTAATGCTATGTGCTCGAAACTTAAGTCATAACGTTGAAACAAAAAAAGTTCAAGGGATGAGCAAGAATAAAAGAAATGGTGATTGCAGTCGGCAATCACAAAGTTGGAGCTAATTTAACTACAGATATCGCCTTAAAGGGAGTCAAGTTAAAAAAAAAAAGGTGTAAAAATGAACCAGTTCTTGTAAAGGCCACGAAACAAAATGAATCACATGCTCCACAGTCTCCACAGGAATTGGCAAAGCTATTACAAGGAATATAAATAACCAGACGTGTAATTGAACAGCCTAAATCTTAACGATCTACAGCGAAAACAAAGAACCATCAAGTGTCCTGAGTTTTCCAAATCTATACAAACAAAAATGTAGAAAACTGCAAACTCCTTCCCAAGGAAGATTCCAATCACCACTTTCCAATCTTATCTTCTTGTCTTTTTACTCTCCAAGACGGGCACCATTGGACCCACCCCTATAGAGTAAACCCCGGACGCTTGCAATAACCCACTAACCACATGCATCGATCAAGTCTAGGAGTCACCTACGAGAGTCTAACTGAAAACATCCCAGTTGATGATACACCCTAAGCTTCACACTAATAGGCTACTCATGCAGGTTGAGAAGACATTCAATATCCTTGACACTGTGATGGGAATCGTGTAGGAATTTGATAGATATTATAGATTAATTATGATAGTTATTTAAATACTTTTAATATTTATTTTTTAAGTAATTTCTTTTAACTTTTAAGAATTTAGTTGTCATTTTGATTATTTATTTATTTTAGGGTTTGTTATATCCTTATATATATAGGATTTGTGAACTCCTTATATATATAAGGGATACATATTTGTTNACTCTCATGATTAATCTAAAATATCTATCTAATTCCTACACGATTTCCATCATTTGGATAGATATTTTAGATTAATCATGAGAGTAATTTAGCATTTATTTTTTAAGTATTTTCTTTAAGGGTTTAGTTATCATTTTTGATTATTTATTTATTTTAGGGTTTGTGATGTCCTTATATATATAGGATTTGTGAACTCCCTATATGTAGGGGATACATATTTGTTGTGAAATTAGACTTTGATTATTATTGATTATTGATATTGAATCTTTCTTCCTCAAATTCTCTCTTCATCCTCATCTCATTCTTCTTCTTCTTCTCTCATCCCCTTCTTCTTNGATATTACTTCTTCCTCAAATTCTCTTTCTTTTCTCATCCCCTTCTTCTTCCCTTCTCGTCCTTAATTCTTCCCTAATATGATCTACATCAATTTGGTTTCAGAGCCCAATTTCGATTCGAAAAAAAATCACAACACTGTTCATAAAAAAAAGCTGCTTGTCAAAATCACTGTTCACGCGCATTGTTCGTCATTGACTCATGATTGATTTCATCGTTGATCACTGCCTCTTGTGTTTAACAAAAATACCCTAGAAAAATTACAAAAAAAACTCCAGAAAATTACAGAAGTATCACCCTAAAAAATACAGAAAATTACGACAACATCCCTATTTCTTCCCTAATACGATCTACATCAATTTGATATCAGAGCTACTACGATCTACATCACACTGTTTAACGAAAAAGTAGACAAGCACAAGACACTGAAAATATTCAAGGCAAATAATAATAGGACTAGCTATATAAAACCTATTAACAAACTCATTTATGATCAGAGTTCAATCTATCCAACCATTTGCAAAATACAAAAGCACAAAAATTCACTAGGAAGCGCACATTTCTCCACCAAATTCAGTATCGGGGAATACAATCACTACAAAAGTAAAGGATCTCATGATAGGCAGGGGTGGAGCCAAAAATTTCACCTAGGGTGGACACTTCACTTAGAAATTTAAAAAAAAAAAATTCCCGATCAATAAAAGTAAATAATATATTTAAATTTACTGCATTGTATTTGATAATTAAATATTCATAAAATACAAAAAAGATGAAACATCGATTAATATAGTATATACAAATAAAAAATAAAAAAAAATAAAGGCTACTTACAACCCTTCACACATGAGACTAACTGCATAAAAGATATTATAGCCTTCGCTATATAATCTATCAAACTATTAGTCATTAATACTCATTCATTTATGCAACCTAGTTTTCATAATCTCTATAGCTTAAAAAATGAGCCTGATATGTTAAAAACTTATCTAGATGTATCAATAAATTAATGTTATAAGTATGATCGGGAGTTGGACATTGTATAGATGGAGATGTCCAAAGTGAGTCCAAAGGTTCATAGTTATTTAGGTATGGGACACTTCAATATTTATGTGGCCTTATTATTTATTGGTGGTGATAATGTAACATCACTTGGTAAGCTATACTAATTGATAGAACAAAAAATAATAGAATGGTCATACTTAAATATACTTACAATTATTTGAAATATACAAAAGTAATATTTAAAAAAATAAATAAATCATGGTGGGCCCGTGTTCCCCTGGTCCTCAATTGACTCTGCCCATGATGATAAGGCTTTCTCTTCAAGATCCTGAGTCATCTAGTACAAAAATTTACTTCATTTTTAGTATAGGCTTAGTTTATTTTGCCATGAGTAGATCTTTGGCAAAAACAAAAGTACACACTTTTGATACCCAAATCAATCTGCAAAACGCTAAGCATCAACTAAAATATGGAGCTACCGGAGCTCTAAGAATGTTATTTAACCAGACTATGGAGTTAATTGAGTAATGGTCACATATTTTCCATTGCGCAGATCATGATAGTATACTCTCCAACAGGATTCATCCCTTAAAAAATAATAAAGATAAAAAATTTATCTGGGACCAAAACAAGAACCCCTAAAAATTGAACTAAATTTTTTTTGTTGCCCAACATCAAAGCATCTGTCGTCTGGAGTACAATTAGGTGCTGAAAGTTAATTCATGGAAGAGTTAAGGGCCATATATAGTTATATATGTACATTCCTAGGAAGGGGCAAAGCAAAAATTACTAACAGGGGATCCTCCTAGAGAAATGCAATGTAATGGAAAGTCATACATATAGCTTTAGTTCTTCCGGTAATAAGGAGGTTTCCATATACAAAAATTGACTTTAATCCGACGAGGAAATACTTTTTTCTCTCTAAAACTAAAGCTGGAGTAACAAAATCTAGATCCGACTACATAATCTCCATCTATTTAATCCCTTCAGATAACTTATTTCGCCTCTGGGAATGACAAAAGAGGTCACATATGCGATTCTTCTTTTGCTTTCCTTCTTTTAACTATCAGCAGCCTTATTCCAATCCAACAACTCATTCCACTTCCATCAACAATAATGCCTCACAAGTTCAGGGCTCTAATCTCCAACAAAAAGGTGCAAGCAAATTGAGTTTGTTTTCTAAAAACAGAAAGTAACCACAATTGCTTTGTAAGGTAAAGTTGAAGATAAAAAAGATGAAGCACCGTTAGTGGAGAAAAATTGATTCAGGCATTGGTATTCCAACTCCCCTCAGTCTCCATATTTCCACCTCTGCTGTAATAGCTACAAATTTTTTTGGAGGGGTTGAGGGGACAAAGGGTTGGAATATGCACAAGAAGAAACCATAGTTGCAAATAAACGAGGAGATTGAGTTACAGGGGTGCGTTTCTTTTTGTGCATGTGTGTATTCTATTTTTGGGGGCAGGGAAAGCATTGGAATTGATACGATTGTTCTTTTTTGTGGGGTGGGTATGGAGGGAAAGGGGAAGAAAGGATTGGCATAGGTACAAGAAAAAACCATAGCGGCAAATAAATTAGGACATTGAAACACAAGGTCCAAAATCTTATCTCTGAAAAGTTGTCTTACTGAAAAAGATAACACAAAATGATACATCAAAATGCTACAACAAAATGTTATAGACAGAGCGAGAACATTCACTTAAGAAGCCTAGGAAGTACATAATTATTGTATATAATGCATTAGATACGCTAGCAAAATGCTGCACCCAAACAATGATCGAGAATCTTTTTGAAGGACAACTATTGTCCACAGTGAGATTCAACACCTATAGAGATAGTAAAATAAAGGCGATTGGCCTAGTAGAGTCTTTGTCAGTGCATGCTAAGGAATTTTAAGTTGTTAAATTGCAAGAATGAATGCAAAAGTTACAGAAATATGCTCAGGACTAGATGTGGTGCTAATGAAAGTATAAATATTCACGAGGGAACTGAATTAATGTGGCTAGTTATGTCTTCTTCATAGCATGTAACTTCAAACAAAACAATAAAGAATGAACAAAAACAAAGATGATAATAAGGTCAAAATATGAGTCAAGCATCCCACTAATTAGTTATGTAAATGGCATGCGTACATTCATCACCAATTTCTAATTACATCTTCTTAATCTAATTGGTGAACCACAGACCACATAGACTTAAAATCATGGATTACAAATGGAAAAATAGTCCAGAAAATAACCTCTGATGTGTTGTCCTGAGACTCGACATAGGATCTCGAGACCTGCAAGCATAATGATACAAACATTTTACCATCCTACTGCAATCAACTAATATAAAAAACTCAACAAAAACACTTCTGATGCAACCATTTATAAATCGCAATTACTCACAGAATTAAATTCTGTTCCATTCACAGTCCCATTATCCGACACTGAAGCCCTTGGCGAGGAACCTTCCTCCGATCCTTCATGCACCGGTGACGGTGGTTGAGGTGGTGCCACATAGGAAACTCTCAATTTGCACTCCTCAACATGATTCCCTGACTCCTTGTTGAACTGAAATGAAAATAGCAAAGCATAAACCACAACTTGTTCATCGCAAAACTCTAAACATTGCATTCAACATTTATCTAGTCATCAAAATATGGTTACCAACTCTGGAGTGATATCTTTTGTTGTAGCTCCAGGACCTGCGATCCCACATTGAAGTAGGAACTTGTCCTTGCATTGCATATCAGGAGGAGCTTCCTTCTGTGCTTGCATCGTAACTAAACCACATGTAAATTGACAGTTCTCACCAAATTAGCGAATAATGATAATTCAAAGCCAAATTGATACCAGAAATAATAATTGACATAATAAAAGATAGAGTGAGGTTATTCAAATACAAATTTGATGAGAAACAACTAATAAACGATTCCAGTGATGGCAACTAACAAAGAATGATTTGAAAAAAATTTAAAAAATATGAGTTCAATAATTCTCTGTGTGTGTGTGTGTGTGTGTGTGGTGACGCCGGGGGGGGGGGGGGGGGGG